ATAAAAGAAGACTTAGGGGGAACCGAGCCGGAACCTCTACCATCCCAAAACCTATTTAGTCTTGACAAATTTCCATCCAGATCAACAATTAGGATCGAAAATCCCAAGGTTTTAAAACATTGATTGCCGATAACCTAAGTCACAAGTGATGGAAACAAAAGAAGATGCAATTTGTTCCAAAAGCATAAAAATATTGCGTATTTAGTACCTTTTATCGTGCTTATAATAAGGGACTTCATTTAGTTACCCACTCATTTTGGGAGACAGTAATCCGATGATAAATATGATCAAACACAAAAACAAAACCAAAAGAAGCACGTATCTAGTATTAAAGGGCTCCCCCAAAATACAAAAATATGTTGTTATGTCATAATCCCATGGCATTAACATAGAAAAAACAGAAGGGAAAGATGAAACATGCTTACCCAAATCAATTTACTATGGAAAAAGTTTATATAAATGCGAGGCTCTAAACAATCAAATTAGGGCGCACCTCAAAAATTCATTCAAAGAGGTTGTTTCAATACCCAAAATTCCTCAAATTGAACATATCAACCTCGAGATGTGTAGACATGACAAAAACATAGATTTCTAGTATTGGAAATAATGAATCTTGTAATGTATATTTGGACCGCCAATTTTCAAGATTTTTAAGTGTCCATAGATCTGTTCTATCTGCTCTTTTTTTAAATTTAAAATTTTATAATTAGATATGAAAATAAGTTTTCAGCCCATCACAAAGATTTCCAGTATTGAAACAACATCATTCGATACTATTTGAAGACACACCCTACTTCAACGGTTTAGAGCCTCGACCTTATAAAAACTACACCCATTATATATTGCCATATTGTAGGGTTGTAAAATAAGACATTGTAATCCGCCTTATTTTATTAATGGAAAGCTGGTAGGGGGCTTCTATTTACCAAAAAGAAAATCAATTATACATTAAATCAGTGCACAACCAAACAAGCTATAACTCAAATCAATTTCTTCTCCCAAACATAAAATGAAAGAAGCTGACTTGGCCATTTCAGAATAAAAGGTATATCGTATAAGACAATTTATTTCTGGTATAAGATGATCATAATCATCCCTAAGTGTGATATGTGAAATCAACAGCTAAGGATGCATCATTTCTCTTCTCAAATATTTTAAGTCGCCAATGACACACCCCAAGTTGGTCAATTCCACATCCAACTAGAAGGGATTAGTCACCAAGACCAGACTAGACTAGCCATAATCAGTGCTTTAGCCAGTCTTGCCTAATATAAAACAAATTTAGTAAAAAACCAATCAAAATCAATGTTTGGACCATCCAATCTAATAGGTTGAACCAGATGCATAACGTCTAACAAGTTTTTGTATTAGATTTCACGCCTTAAATTATTATTGCCTTTTAATCTGATCCAATTGCTTTGGCTGATTTTGACCGAACCAAACCCTCTTGTTGGCTCGGTAGTCGATCTGATCTTAATACCATATTTTGGTAACACTGATTGTGACCACGTTGTACAAAAGGAAAAATTTACCTTAAAAATAAAACAAAAGAAATTTATGTAAGAGATATCTATTTAACCTCTTGCCCATTTACAACTATCACAACTCAAGAGCATGAGTTTTTTTATGGCTATTTGAGATTAAATGAAATGATACGAGTAAATGTTATATTCTTTATCTGTTACAAGTAATTTCATAAATTTTCCATAAAACAATTATTGATTCTATCTTTGTAATTTCTCTCTCACGGCTTTCACATGAGAAAGCAGCTTCCCATGTTCAGGAGAATTCTCTCTAACAACCCCAACTTCATTGAAAGCAGCTAGCCATGAACAAAACACAGGTCTTCTCAGTTACTACCAGTCTTTCTCCAGAGACCATTTCCAGAACTTTGATCCAGCTCGACAGAGAACACACTACAACTCCCAAAAAACCAGGGATTTCTCCATTGAAGAATGGGTTCTCGCCTTCAAAATCTTTTTGAACACCATGTTCAAACACCTTGAGGTTCTCTGTAAACTCTATGGTGGTCTCTATTACCTGATCGAGACATCAATAGAAGGAATGAAAAGATGAAGGCCAAACCATAGATTTAGCATTAATGTGCAAAATTCATTTAAAGTATAACCCAAAACTGTGCAATTCTATGCTAACAGAACCAAAATCAATGGAGAAAACCTGAAGGTCAAGCCAAACCATTCCATAACTTTAGTCCAAATATTGAATAATCCAAAATATGATCCTAGAAACATAGTGACTCTCAGCTGACTGAACAAGATAACAATGGAAAAATATGAAAAAAAAAAAAGGTCCATAAATTTAATCCAAATATACATATATATCCCAAAAAAAAAACTACCTTTATAAATGTTGGGTTTTACAGATATCGATTGAAAAGTTGAAATCAAGTAAAGTATTTTGGCAAAACAAAAACTGAAAACCCAATTCAAAGTGGACAAAAAAACTCACCTTTCTCTCAAAAAAGTCTGCCCAAAATCTCACTAGTGCTTTCTTGTAAGCATTTTCAGGCACAAGAGGAGCAATTTTTTGCCAAGTTTCATCAATGTATTCAAGGATGATCAGAGATTCAGAGATGGCCTTGTCATTGTGTATGAGAACAGGGGCCTTTTTGTGAACTGGGTTCAGTTGAAGAAGAAGCGGGCTCTTGTTTCTCAAGTCTTGCTCTATGTATTCATAGCTAATGCCCTTGAGGTTTAGAGCAAGTTCTACTCTTAAGCAGAAGGGGCTAGTCCAAGTGCCAAGGATCTTCACTCCCTCTGATAGAGGCGGTGGTCCATGGGGGTGAAGACTCAACCCTTGCCACCTATCCTCTCTCCCTTTCTATGCATACAATATTTTTTTAATAAAAAATCAACATGCAATAAATTTAGAGACTGAATCTCACGACTTTTTTAAACCAAAAATAAGAAATCATTTATTCTTCTCCCATGTTTTCACCAAATTTCTCCAAACTTGTCATGTACTATTCCAATCACATTAATGTACAAAAGCCCAAAGTTAAAAAAGATAAAAATAAATAAATTGGAAGAGGTTTATATAAGTGGAAATTGTACTTGCAGCAATAAGGTTGTAATAATATATGTTGAGCATGTAATTGGATGTTGTATAAGCTATCAGATTTTATATTGAATGGTGATAAGTAATTGTGACCTCTCTATACCAAAGATAAATGATCGCATTGTATACAATCTATTTTCTTTATTTTTTCAAAATCCAATCCAAACAGATTGACCTACAATTCAACCAAATTTTGACTAGACTAAACCCCCTATGTCAATTCATAGCCGATCTGATCCTGATAACACATCCATCCTGATAATACTAATTACGAAGAGTTGTTTTACATTCGGTAATATTTACTCTAAAAAATAAAAGAAATTTACCTAAAATACCCACAAGAGATTAACTACTTTCACATTTTGCCCATTAATAAACCTTGTGTTTTTTTATGGGTATTTTGAAATTAAATTAAATAACATAAATAAAGGGTTAAATAGTTTTGCTCTCATTGAGGGATTTTATTAATTGCGTATAAAACTTCTTTTGATTCATCTCTCATGACTACTATCAGAAATTTTCCATCGATTGATTCTACTTTTGTAAGAGAGCAAACTGGACAAGGCCTTTTTCTTTTTTTTTTTTGAGAATGAGAAAAAAAAGAAAAAGAAAATCACTGCCAAAAACCTCTCTACGCTCAATCAATCGTTAGGCCCCATGTTTGGCGTTCCAAAGATTTTCTCTCTCAAGGCTTTGGCATAAGCCAGCAGTTTCCCATGTTCAAATGAACTCTCTTTCACTACCCCAACTTTATTTAAAGCACATAGCCATGAACAAAAATGAGGGGTCTTCTCTGTTTCCACCAATCTTTCTTCAAAGATCTCTTCTAAGAGTTTGATCCAGCAAGAAAGAGAACCCACTAAAAATCCCAAAAGACCAGGGCTTTCTTCATTGAAGAATGGGTTCTCGCGTTCGAATTCCTTTCGAACACCATTTTCAAACAGCTTGAGGTTCTCTGTAAACGCTAACACTGCCATATCTTGCTCTTTGCCTGAATTCCAAACAATAGCTCTGAAAGTCTCTGTTACCTGATCCAAACAACTATACTTGAGAATCAAAAGGTAAAACCCAAAAGAATCATATATTTACGAAAAATCTCCATAATCAATGAAGAAAACCAGAAGATCAAAAGCCCGTAGAATTAAGCCAAAATATGCACATATATCCCATAAAACTACCTTTTAAAAGGGTTGGGTTTTACAGATATCGATTTAGAAGTTGAAATAAGGTTAAGTTTTTGCCTATATCAATACCCAATTCAAAATGGACGGAAAATCTCACCTTTTTCTAGAAAAGGTTGGCCCAAAATCTCACAAGGGCTTCCTTGTAAGCGTTTTCAGGCAAAAGAGGTGCATTTTTTGTCCAAGTTTCATGAATGTATTCAAGGATGATGAGAGATTCGGCAATGGCCTTGCCGTTGTGCACGAGAACAGGGACGCTTTTGTGAGTTGTGTTCAGTTGAAGAAGAAGAGGGCTCTTGTTGCTCAAGTCTTCTTCTATGTATTCATAGTTTAGAGCAAGTTCTACTCTTAAGCAGCACTCCTTCCTCTGATGAAGCCATGGACGCTTGTTTGATTTAAGAGAGAGCGAAAGTGATCAATTTCGTGATTATTATAGGGGACTGGTGCTGGTTTGAGTTTGTCCATATATTACAATCTTAAACATGAGGGGTGATTCCATATCTTTTGTATTTAGTGGAGGAGTTCATTTCCAGTGCATTATTTTGGGCCTGGCAATAGGCTCGGCGGTCCATTCTTGGCTACAGAAAAACTAGGGCCGGAAAAATCAGGGCCTGGGCCTGGGCCAGGGCCCTCTGACCTTGTCCTTTCTTGCACCAACCTTTTAGGGACTCAGGCCGGGAAAAGCCCGACCAGTTGCCGGCCCTGCCACCATCTCTCTCTTAGATACCTATTTCTCTCTCAGTCCTCTGTCTTAGCCATTCCTCTATGACTCCTCTCTCTTAGCCAACCTTCTCTCTCCTTCTAGCTTTGAAAACACAATTTTGTATTGTTGAAATAATTCGTTCTTCTATATTTTGCCCCAACTAAGTGGCCTAAGGTGTATATGTGCCGATAACCAAAAAAAAAAAAGAAAACAAAGAGTTGACAAAAAAATACAAAAATCCAAAAAATAAGAAAAATGTGTGAAGTAAAACTAAACAAACCACATCTAAATGAGCTTAAAAGTAGTGGAAAAAGGAATTTGAAAAAATTCCATGGGGGGTATTTTAGAAATAATTTAGAAGAAAAAACATCAAAAAAACCATTTATCTTTGGGACAAGTTTTTATAGAGCCTAGGCTCTAAACAATCAAATTAGAGCCTACCTCAAAAATTTCACTAGAAGAGGTTGTTTTGATGCCTAAATATCTTCAAATTGAACATCTCGACGTCAAGATGCATGGACATAAGAAAAAAATGGATTTGAAGTTAAGAAAAAAATGGATTTGAAGTTTTGAAAATAGTGCATCTTGTAATGCATTTTAGTATTGTCAATTTTTAAGATTTTCAAGTACTCATAGATTGGTTGGATCTACATTATTTTTGAAACTTTAAATTTTATGATTAAAGATGAAAATATATTTCAAAGCCATCACAAATATTTCTAATACCGAAATCACATTTCTCAACACTATTTGAAAGTGGGCTCTAATTTGATTGTTTAGAGCCTCGTCTCTATTCAAATCGCACCCTTTATCTTTTGTATATGGAGATCACAATCATTCTTATCCCTTAAATTTTAAAATAAGTGGTTGTAAGAGTGTCATTGAACAAACACACAGTTCCAAAAAAAAAATATCGAACTTCGTGATTCACCTCAAGCCGTCCAATTTGATATCTAATGAGTAGAAAAATATGCACCTTCTGTTTAGATGAAGGGGCAAAAGGTTGCAGCCCAATTTCAATAAATGGGGTTACATCATTTTAGAGATTATTATTTAAAAAAGGTAAATGAGTGAAATAAAAATAAGAGAAAAATACATAAATCCCTTCTTTAAAACTATAATCCCAAATAATCTCTTGATCTTATAAATATACCATGGAGCCCAAGTTAAACAAAAAAATACATTGAATTCATTTTATATTTTTTATTGTCTAAATTACATAATTTATCTTTTTTTGTTTTCTTAATCATTATGTTATCTAAGTCTTGGAAAAGCTGTACTGGTCTTTCACTTTCTTCCTCACCTGTGGACCTCTTCATCCCTCTCTCTCTCTCTTTAGCAACCTTCTCTAAATATTTATCCCTCTCTATCATCTTGTGACCTCACAAGTAAGTAAAAAGATGCATCACAAACTTAATTTTTATGATGAGCTTATTCAAAGAAAAATAAAAAAATATATATAAATTCTGTAATTTGGACAACAAAAAAAAGTTAAAAGGGGTTAAATGTTATTTTTTGTATAACTTAAAGGATTCTATGAGCTTCTTATAGGACCAAGGGGTTAGGGTTCTTTGGGATAATAAGTTTAGAGAGGGAAGTATACCTTTTCTTTTTTCTCCTAAAAAGCAAAACATAAAATATGATCCCTTCTATGATATTTTTTCATATTTTTACTATAGAGAACTAAAAGTTTGTGAACTGCAATATGAGACATGGATACTTCTGTTGAGAGTTGAGACACGTGAGATGCTATAGTTGAGCAGAAATCGGCCATGTTTTTTATAAGGAAAAATTATATAAAGTTTAACCTTAAAATATAGAATTAAAGATGCATGTTAAAATCCATCGAAAAAGATTATTTTAATGTTGAAAAACTCTCTAATTGATCTTCTCGACATTGAGATATAAGAATATGAAAAAAAAACATTTTGAATCTTAGAAATAAGTGTTTATAAATTCACAAGATCTGTACCGTTTTTTTAGTTTCAAAATTCATTATCTGTATTGAAAATAGATTTTAGAGCCATCATAGAGATTTTCGTTGTCGAAAGTGCCTTCTAAACGAGCATTTGAAGGGAAGCTTTACTGTGTTTTCATAAATCTTAGGCTAATAGAAACCTCATCCAGTGGACTAAAGCATTTATCATCAACCATGTGAGAAAATGTCATATAGACCAGCAAAACCATGCGAGAAAATGTCATATAGACCAGCAAAAGCATTGAGCAATAATTGTCTTGTTATCTCTCTATGCTTGGTTGTGTTGGTAATGATGAAGATTATTTTGGACACATAATTGGTTAAGTCCATTGTGTTGATGTTAGATGCGTCACCTAATTGCAATTTGCTTTTTTGATTAAGTTTTCAGTGTTTGAGTTCATGGTTTTGCAAACCCCTAACCCGATAGGCCAATGATAAATGTAAAAAAATGAGAGAAAATAAAAATGAAAAGATTGAAAAAAAATGAATGGTCTCAGTATTACAACTAAAAAATGGAAAAATAATCAACAGGTGAAGACGGTCAATAGTTTTAATTTCGAAGTATTATGCTTCAGAATCGCTAACCTTCCAATCGAACAGGTTAGGGAAAGTACAGAGTAGGACAAATGATTTTTTAAACACTTCATAGAATTGAATTTGACCAAGATTTTGGGTGTATTTCCAAAGGAAAAAGTTTACATAAGGTGTCAATCTTATAGAGAAGTAAGGTGCACCTCAAAAACCATCGAAGAATGTTGTTTTGCTGCTAGAAAATTCTCCACTTAATCATCATGATCTCAATATGTATGGGTATGAAAGAAAAATGAATTTTAAAGCTTAAAAATAGTACATCTTTGTGACACATTATCTACAACATCTATTTTTAAGATTTAAAAAAAAGTGGCGAAATATGTTATGCTCTGATACCACTTTTTCTGCTTTGATACCACTTGTTGTGCGCGGAAACTCTAAACCTTGTTGGGTTGATTTTTGGCAAATAAAGTATGAGAATAAAATATGAAATACACACCACAACAATACACAAAGATTTACCTGCTTCACCCAAGAGGGCTACATCCACGGGCACGACAAACTGAAATCTAATATACCAAGAAAAGTTACATCAAAGATTTTGAATCGACAAAAATCTCAAGTCTATAAATTTTAAACAACTCTCCATTCCTTCTCTTTACTTCTGGCAACAATTACCAACAACACTAGACCAAATAGAGACGAGAGCAACGAGAAAATTACTTTCTTTCTTACTAAAAAGGGAACAACCCAAAATATCTTTGGTAACCAATTCTCTACAAAAAAACAAACAAGTCTCTCAATCTTCGGGATTCTAAAAGAGGCACCAAAAGAGATTGAGAGTTTAAAAGAGACTTTACCTCCCTCTTTCTCCAGAGGAACCACCATTTCCATATGGTGATCCAAATAGGCACACGAATTATCTGCCCTTTCATTCTATGTTATAAAGTTAAGAATCCATACTAAATAGAAAACTTTTTATAGATCTTACATATATATCAAAAAATTAAGATATATATCCAAGAGTCCTAATCTTTTTAGATTTCTATTTCCTGAAAAATTACTATCAATCTCAATCTTAGAAATATCTGGATCCCACATGAGAATATCTCAATCAATCCCACAAAATATGAGATTTCCATATGTGCGTACCACCAAACCCAACAAAATATACCCTTGGGTCGTAATGAGAATTTCAACAATGAAAATACATCTTGTGACGAGATTTTGAGGTGCCCCTTATCGTGATTGTTTAAGGATGACACTTTATATAAACCTCGCCCATTTCTAAAGCACTAGGTGAACCACTTCCCAAAAGGAGAGAGAGATAATGTGTGTGTTTCGAGCACCAATATCCTTAGATTTAACAGGGCACAAAAGAGATAGCCAACACGAGTTGGCTTGAGATCAGTGGGGAAAATCTTCCTATTTTTTAATAAAAATATCTTCTTTTTAATAATAATTTCGAACCAAACACTAATCGCCATTTTCAATTATTCTCTCCTATTTCTTCCATAAAAAGATCACGGAATTAGTGTAGAAATGTACTTTTTGAGAGCCATTTTTGTATGCATACAATTTGATATTTTGTATCGAACAGCAAAATGCAAGAAATTGAGAGACCGAATTTCATGTTTTTTTTTTTCACCCAAAGTCAAAAAACTTTTATTCTTTCTCTCATCGTTTCCCCAAATTTGTCCTATAATATTCCTATCACATTGATATAGAAAAAGTCAAAACAAAATTTTTTGAATTAACAAAAAAAAATTTCCAACTCAAGATCATACATCTTTTACAGGTATTTTGAAATTAAAATCAAATGATATAGGCAAAGTGTTAAATTGTTTATCTTATGAATAATTAAAAAAAATTTCCATAAAACAACTATTGATTTATCTCTTATGAGTAATTTCATAAATTTTCCATAAAACAAAGATGAATTCCAAATTTGTATGGGAGCAACCCGGACTTCCAAATGCCATTTATTTCACAACCCAACTGTTTGTAAAGAAGCACCACCAAAAACATTAGATTTTTCTCATGTTTGGCAATCCGAAGATTTTCTCTCTCAAGGCTTTCACATAAGACAGCAGCCTCCCATGTTCAAGTGAGGTCTCTCTTACTAACCCAACTTCATTGAAAGCACATAGCCATGAACAAAACAGAGGGGTCTTCTCTGTTTCCACCAGTCTTTCTCCACGGAACTCTTCCATGACTTTGATCCAGGTAGACAGAGAACCCACTAAAATTCCCAAGAAACCAGGGCTTTCTCCATTGAAGAATGGGTTCTCGCCTTCGAAATCTTTTTGAATACCATGTTCAAACACCTTGAGGTTCTCTGTAAACGATAACACTGCCATATCTTGCTCTTTGCCTGATTTCAAAACAGCAGCTCTGAAAGTCTCTGTTACCTGATCCAAACGACAATGCAAGAAATCAAAAGATAAAAGCCAAAAATAAATGGAGAAAACCAGAAGCTCTGCAATTCTATGCTGAGCCAAAATAAATGGAGAAAACCAGAAGATCAAGCCAAAAACGTCCATAATTTTAGTCCAAAATACTGAATAATTCAAAATATGATCCAAGAAACATAGTGATTATCAGCTAACTGAACTGTAGGGTTTTTGGGAACCGCTCGCTTGCAAAACCGGGAACCCAAATACTGGGATCCCATCCAAGATTATGTACACAATTAGTTAAACGTAAAATAAATTAATATAATTATAAATAGAGTGCAAAAAACAATGCAAAAACTAAAATCACACTACAGCGGCACACAATTTATGTAGTTCACCCTACAGCGCTACGTCTACCGTCTCTACAAATAGGATTCCACTGTCATGAAAATTACAATTTTTTAGTTACAAGAGATAATACATCTCTCTAAATATTGATAAAAACCTTACCGATCTTTCTTTCTAAACCCACTTTCCCGACCGAGCAATACCGTCCATCAACCTCATTTTTCCAAACCATTATACCACAACTAGAAAAAATACCTTGAGAACAACCGAGAGACTATCTCTCTAGAAGTAGAATCTTAAACAATCCAAAATCCCATAAAAATACTGCCTCTCCTAGATCTACAAGAAGCCATCTCTCTCTATTCTAGACCCATCTCTTCTTAGAGTTCCTTTCCCACAACCCAAAAGGGGTGACCCTTAAAAAATGAAGATATGTATTATAGTTTCTTTGAACCCCTTTTCTAAAGATTATCAAGCATCTTTTTTATTATTCAAAAAAGCGTCTTCTTTTTACTATAATACTCTTAATTTTTTTAAAAAAAACTTAATGCAGTGAATTTGACTATCACCAAACCTAACATGAGCTAAACAACAGTAAATAAAATTAAAAAAGCCAAAAACGTCCATATAATTAAGCCAAAATATACACATGTATATCAAAAAACAACCACTTTTCATAACTGTTGGGTTTTACATATCAATTGAAAAGCTGAAATCAAGTTTTTTGCCTAAATCAAAACTGAAAACTCAATTCAAAATGGACGGAAAATCTCACCTTTTTCTCGAAAAAGTCGGCCCAAAATCTCACAAGGGCTTTCTTGTAAGCATTTTCAGGCAAAAGAGGTGCAAGTTTTGGCCAAGTTTCATGAATGTATTCCAGGATGATGAGAGATTCAGCAATGGCCTTGCCATTGTGTATGAGAACCGGGACCGTTTTGTGAACTGGGTTCAGTTGAAGAAGGAGAGGGCTCTTGTTGCTCAAGTCTTCTTCTATGTGTTCATAGCTTATGCCCTTGAGCTTTAAAGCAAGTTCTACTCTTAAGCAGAAGGGGCTAGGCCAAGTGCCAAGCATCTTCACTGCTTTCTCTGATGAAGCCATGGAAGCCTCTCTGAGTAGGTGAGAGGTAGAGGGAGAGAGCGAGAGAGAGGGAGAGAGAGGTGCATAAGATCATTTTCTTGATTATTATAGAGGATTGGTGTTGTTTTTAGTTGTGTCCATATGTTGCATGTCACATTCTTTATAATGAGGGATGATTCCATATCTTTTGTATTTTCTGGTGGAGCTCATTTCTAGTGCATTAGTGCCTGGAAGGAATAAATGGTGGACTAACCTAGGTATTTATGTTTTTTTTGGCTAAGGATATTTCTCAAGGGAGAGGCACCTTGCAGCTTTTTAGAGTTGTAATACAAAAACTATTGGTATCTTCACTACATTAATGATGAACTAAATCTTTAAAACAGTGAATGAGGGTGAAAAAGGAGTTGACATTTTTTGGGTTGTGGAGGCTTTGAAAATCACAAAGGAAGATGGACTTTTTTTAGTTTTAGGTATGCTATTACGCTATCTCGAAACAATATTTACATCCTGTTTATTAAATTCAGTGTGCATAAAGATGTAGTAGGCAAGCTCGTCTTCAAGATACCTGATAATAGAATTTTTTTTTATGTTATTTCGCCTATTTAAATATTTAATGGACTAATTTTATTTTTTTTTCTTTTGGCGGAGGGGATAGGGGTGAGGAGAAAACAACTATAGAGTTTAAGAAGTGACCTTTGAGTGGAGAGATGTGACTCTTCATTAGGTGGTTATGATTTAACTATCTCCTCATTAATTGTCACACCCAACAATCACCTCCTAATGGCAATAAGTTGCGGTTTGTATAGAGCTTACTAATTGTCACACCCAACAATCACCTCCTAATGGCAATAAGTTGCAGTTTGTATAGAGCCGACGCTCTAAATGATCAAATTAGAGCCCACCTTCAAATAATGTTGAGAAATATGGTTTCAATAATGGAAAGTTTTGTGATAGCTTTAAATTATATTTTCACTTTTAGTTATAAAATTTAAAGCTGAAAAAATAGTGTATATTGAGCATATCTATGAAAGCTTGAAAATCTTGAAAATTGACGGTCCAAAAATACGTTACAAGATGCACTCTTCCCAAAACTTGAATTACATTTTTTTCTCATGCCTATGCATCTTGATGTCGAGATGATCGATTTGAGGATATTTAAGTATCAAAACAATATTTTCTAATAAAATTTTTGAAATAAGCTCTAATTTGATTGTTCAGAGCCTAAGTTCTATAGAAACTTTTCCCATAGTGAAAATACGGGAAAATATTATAAAAGGGGTCATATTGGCGTAAGAAGATCTCAATTAATTTATGTTTTGATTTTTATTTACCTAATTAAAAAATATTTTTAAAATTATAAATTGCCGTTATTCGGAGTGAAAAACCTGGACAAGTGGAGGCATTTCAACAATTTGATCTACCCTACACAAGCAAAGATACTCATGTCTTTGCTTTGGGCAAAATAAGGAAAAGCAAATTATTTCAACAATGCAATCTGCATCCCCAGCAAGTCGGAGAGAGAAGGTTGGCTAAGAGCGGGGAATGAGGGAGAAATAGGTGGCTAACACACTGCGATTAGGGGTGGCAATGGGTCCGGACCGGGACCTGACTGGACCTGAAGTTATCATACCCAGACCCGACCTAAAAAGTAAAAAATATATATAAATATTATATTAAATATATATATGTATTATTTAAATTTTATAACTAAAATATATAATTATATTTATTTAAATATTAATAAAATATTATATATTAAATAATATTTAAATAATAACACTATTCGAGTTGGGTCCAGGTCGGATCCACATGAACCCAGACCTGGACCCGAACTCGACCCACCGAGTTCAATTTTTGAACCCATACCCGGACCTTGGTCGGGTCGGGTCGGGTCATCAAGTCCGGGTCCATTGCCACCTACCCTTAGTACAATATCCCCTGAACTGAATTTGTTTGACCCAAATTTTAGGTATATTTCTACAAGTGCTACATGAAAAACTTAGAAAACAAAAAGAGAAGTTGTTGAGCACATGTATCCCTTGATGTAACAGTGCACCTAATGGACACCTAACATGAACCCGTCTTCTCTTTACTCATAAAACAATTTTTTGAGTTCTTTTTTTAATTGTTTTCATGGGAATATTTGCTAGGGTCGTAAAAATGTGGATATGCAAGAGGTTAAATAAATAGAAAAAAAAATATATAAAAGATCAACCTTATACTGTAGAACTAAGGTGCCCATCAAAAACTTATTTAATAAAAAATCTTGTGATTTTATTTAATAAAAAATCCATGATTAAAAGAAAATGAGCAAACCCCTAATATGCTATTTTCAATGGTTCTCTCTCATTTCTTTTTCAAAAATCACAAAATTAGTCTCATGATGCTATGTTTTTGTGCCTTTTTTTTCCTATGTATACAATTATTTTTATCAAAAAGTCGATCTACTGGTTCAATGCTACCCTAAACGATATCCTAAGCTAACAGAATAGGAGCCTTGTGTTTCAAATTTCAGCACCCAATGTTTTGGGGGCAATTTCTCTATTATGTAACTCAAATTAAAATCGGGAGCAGCCGGGTGAATAGGTCATATGGGAAAGCGGCTTGGATCAGCAAATCACGGATCCGGATCGACAATTCCACAGATTCTACCATGTGTGAATCTGTCAATAAAGAACTAAAAAATTTAAAAAAAATAAAAAGAAAAAAAAATTACTTACAGAAAACTAGATTGATTGCCTGGTTGCATAAAAAGCCCATCGTTTTTCACGGGGAATCGGTCAATTTTGTGGGAAACAGCCTGATATTTGTTACTGCGTCCCGATCCCAATTGTCATTTTCTAGAACATTGACAAAAAGTATTTGCGTCACTTTGCTCGTGTCATTAATTTGTCTTAGGTTTTTTTTTTAAATGAAGACCATTCACTCTCATTAAGAAGACGACATGGTTTCTATTTGTCTAGGTAGAAATGAGTTACCTTTTAAAAATTTATTTTTGAAATGGATTTCTGGATTTAATTTTTAAGGACATGTAATCTCTAAGATAATGAATATGAAAAAATAAATAAATTTTGAAAATTAAAAATAACAATTCTATCAAGAAAACATTTGGACCATTAGGTTAGTTTCAATTATTTCTAGATGAACCACATATATGCATCGGATATGTTATGCCCGGGACGGCAAATGAAGAAATGCCATCCCAGCCGCATGAAACAATTTTTCTTGAGAAAAACGAAAAACAATGGGCACAATAATGTTACATTGCCGTGCTTAGATTCAAGGACTGAAACCCACACAATCAAGAAAATATTATCCTTTACACAACCATTACCAACATTGGTCTCTTTCTCTCTCTCTCTAAATCTTACACACACACTACACCCTCCATTTTCATCATTCACATAAAAAATATCTGCCACTTCTCTCATGAACTCCCACAGTAGCAGGAGAAAGAGACTTCTATGGGGAATCAGAAATCCAACCCCAACTGGTTATCCTTTAACAGACACGGATCATTTTTCTCCATGAGCTTGATTTCCCCTCTGGATCTATTAGGATTCGGTGCAAATCTCAATTAAGGTTACCTTTAATTTGCAATGGATTGAAAGAAATTTATTTCACACGAGTATGGCTACCTCAATTTCTCCCATTGAACAATCTCTGTAGAGCAGTGTGCAATAACTCGGCTTGAGCTCAGGACTAGCCACTTGCCCGAGCCCAATAACTGAGTCGAGTCCGAGTGGACTTGGCAAGTCATGTAGAAGCACACGAACGGATCAACAATGGAAAACAAACTACAAAAAATTGTTAAAAAAAAAATAACGTAAAAAGCAAACAAAACTAAAACGACATTAAAAGTTTAAAAATGATGGAAAAAGATCTACAAAATATGGAATTGGAAAAAAAATATTTTTGGTTGGAAACAATTCAAAAGTTCTAGAAAAAAGGAAAATAGAAAAAATAACTAAACTTGTCATCAAAAACATCAGATTTATATAAGAACATGTTTAAAAAATATAATTTTTATGATTCTTTGTAGGGAAATTTATCAAAATATCCACGAGAGATGACCTATGTAACATTCTACTCTTTTCAATTACTTCAACTCAAAATCATGTGTTTTTTAATGGGTATTTTGAGATTAAATCAAAAGATATAGGTAAGATATTAAACTGTACATCTATCATGCTTAATTTGATAAATTTGCCTTGAATACATAAGAAACCAGAACTGCTCTTCCTCTCTCTCTAACCTTTCACTGGGAGAAAGCCTCAGAGCTTACCGATTCTTCGTTTGCGGAGAAAGTTCTCCTTTGAGATTTCAGATGAGGGAAACATTGTTTTCGAGGGCCAAAAGTTGCAGAGCAAAGCCTCAAGTTAAGGAATCCCGCGGGATGATAATGAACCTTGGACACAGTCCATGAGATCGTGCACAAGTAGCTGAATACTAGAAACCAGCAATGTAAACTGCCTCAAGGGAGGGAAGAATAGAGTGAGAGGAAGGAGTGACAAGGCCATGGCCAAAACCAGCATCTTTGTAGTTGAAATCTAGATTGGTGGGAGACGACAATGGAATCCCTTCATTGTTCTCAAAGATTCATGCTTGGTACACATATAGTGGTAGGCGCACATGTACATATGAGTTCGCTGACTCATAAAAACCCTTTTCTTATTTATTGGTATGTTTTTGAATTGGGGTTAGGTGTGGTTGATGGGCTGTGAGAGATAGAGAAGGTTGAAAAACTTTTGGGTGTGGTTTCTATAAGGATGCAACCTTAAACAACCCAATTATGGCGAACCTCCAAATTTTATCATATAATTTTGGTATAAAAAATTCTTAGGATTATTTGAATATCTATTTCTATATCTAATTATAAAATTTAAAAGTTAAAAAATAGTTAAAATCAAGTATATCTATAAATATATAAATTTTTTGAAAATGAACGGTCTAGATAATGTGCTGCAAGATGCACTATTTTTGGGACTCAAAATCTTCTTCTTTTTTTCATATTTATACATCTCAATGTCAAGATGATCGATTGGAAGATTTTTCAACATTAAAACAACATTTTAACCTTATATAAATTTTTTCCTTTTTTTTTTTATATATTGTTAACTAATGGTTTGTTTTAGAATTGGGGTTGTGGTTAGGTGGATGGGGTCGTCTCCTAGAGATGATTAATGCATTGCAACATGATTTGTAAGGATTCAAAAGTCCATGGAAGATATTTCTTTAGCAGTGTTAAATGTTTATTGTTTGTATTGTTGGTTGGATTGCAATTATTTAAATGTTCATGTGGAGACAAATTATTCCATGGTGTTGGTTGTCTTCTATACTTGTTTGCTTACCCATTTGGTGCTGTATGTGTACTAGAGAGAGAGAGAGAGAGAGAAGACAGTATGTGTGTTATTTTTTTGGCTTGGTGTGGTGTAGAGAGAGAGACGGCCGTGGTGTTTCCCTTCCCCCGAGAAGAATGGCCAAGAAAAATGTTAAAACAGGCTGTTAAATAATAGAGAAAATGACCCTATTAGTTTTTTTAGGTTCGTCTTATGTGCCCTTTTAAATTTAAAATTTTAGGACCGTTGACCTTCATTTATATATTATTTTTTGTTTTTTTTTATCTTTCAAACTTTTTTTTTAATTACAAAATACCATCCCCATCCGTTAGTCAACTCCATTCACTTTCTCTTCTCTTGCCCATAACCAATCTTACCTCTGTAGACCCCACTCTACAAATTTAGATTTTTATTTTCTTTAATATTATAACCTATTTTACAATTGCATCAAGATCTTTTAAACTTGAAAAATGATTAATCAATATCTTAATTATTATTGTTAATAAATTATTATTATTATCTATTCATTTATTAAATAATTTTATCAAATACCTATAAAAGATAAATTATTTAACAATTAATATATTGTTGTTGTTATTATCATTAGTATAATAATAATTATCATCATCATTATTATCATCAATACAATTTGTATATAAGTCACACAAAAAAAATATAGATGACTAATGTATGGGTTTAGCATTTTGTATAAAAAAAATATATCAAATTTGTAAAACGGACAGAAAAAAACATAATTGAGGGGTTAAAGGTCTCAAAATTTTCTATTGAAGGGTACAAGGGATTTGGTCACTCAATGGGCTAATAGAGATGGAATTTTGGGGAGGGGGGTAGAGATCGTTTTCTCTTAATGATAAGCATGTTAGTACTTGCTACTTAGAAAGATGAAAAATTCTACTTTAGTCTTTTCTATCATTTTAGGCCCAAGTTCCACTTTCTAGAGGGCATATTGTGTTGATATTTTATTTTCGGGTGTAGTTTGTATAATGTTGAAACTTTAAACAATCAAAGTAGGGTGCATGTCCAAACTTTCTCATGAGATATAATTTTCACATCGAAAATTCTTCGAATGGCCCAATAATCTATTTTTATCTCTAATTAGAAAAGTTTAAAGTCCAAATATGATTCAAATAAAACACATCTATAAATGGATGAAAATCTTAAAAATGGATGATCCAGATAATGTGTATTGGATCATTGCTCCTATTGGGCAATGATTCCATGCAACCGTTGTATAGTAATGTGATACAACAACTTTAAAAAACCATCTTATGGCCATTTATTTGATCCAAATTTTGAAATATATACTCTTTTAATTCTAATGAACAATCACAAAAAAAGAAAAAATTGAAAACACAACCTAGAAAGTATTTTTTTAGCCCAATTAACATAGGTCGTTCATTTTGGTGAGATGCTTAGATCTAGGCCTTAGAAAGATTTTTCCATTTCCAATTTGTTTGGATGGATTTATTATCATTAGATGAACAATGTTAAAAAATAAAAAAATGATTTTGAGTTTATAAAGGATAAGATCTTGAAATTCACAAAATGAACGGTCTAGATTCTTTTTTGGAGGGGACTCATTTTGACCATATATAGGGTTCAAATTGAATTTTTTTTTTAGAGGGAATTGATTATTGAGATGAAAAGAGTGTGTGTGCAAAATTTGGAGTAATACAAATATCACAAACATGATTTTCTAGAAGTGTCGTTGCATTATACTATAATAAAACCGTTGTATTGGATCATTGCTCTATATTATTTTTAGGACTTCAAATCATATTTCTTTTCCATATGCATACATCTCAACATCAAAACGAGCACTTGGATGGTTTTTCAAGATCAAAATGGCTTTTTCCAATCAGACTTCTGAGTCTCATATTTCTTTTCCATATGTGATTTTTTTGGCCTGCTGAAGTCAACACGTGTACCGCAAGTATAGTGTCACGTGGTCAAAGGGAGGGCTTGTGTACAAAAATATTTTTATGAACATAAAAACTCGGTAGCCTGCTTAGTTCAAATTAGACTTGCTGAATTTTACCATTATTGTAGACTTTTTGTTTTAATTTCACGAATATTTTGTTTTCATTTTTGCTAACTTTTTTGCTTTAATTTTTAGGAAAATTATGTAAATATCCCTTTTATTATCTGTTATCACGAAAATACCTAATAGTTTTTTTTATTACATAAAATAAAATAGATATTTACGTAATTTTCCCTAATTTTTTTGAGTCCTAAAATTTTTTCTACATATGAACTGACGAGATTAAGTCGGTTCCCATTATTTTGGTTCCAACTCATCAGCCTGCTGAGTCAAATTGGACTTGCTGAATTTTGCAAATTTTTTTATGTTCTATTTGAATTTCAGCTAAATTTTCTTGCATGATTTTTGCTAAGTTTTTTCGTTTTAAATTTTGGAGTCATATTTTATTTTTCAAAATTATGCAGTCATACAAAAGTTTAATAAATATTGGGGATTGTTGAGATTCTAACAGGTTCCCAAGATTTTGGTTTAATAGGGATGAGGATGTTAAACCTTCCTTTAACCGTTCGGATAGAGGAGGTGGATTGCATTACATATAGCTAATGTAAAACTTTGTACACATCTTCTCATAAGTTGCTGAACCGAAATAATTGGGATAACGCTTGAATAATGATGAAACTGTCGAGTGAAAAGGACTTGCCAAGTTTTTTTATTTTTAGTTTTTGTTGTTTTACAAACTTTTAATAAAATATTAGGAACTTTGAAACTCTGCTGATTCCTAGGTTTTGGTTCCAGACTCAAAAGCTCGCAGAGCTCAAATTAGACAAATCGACCTCAAACAATCAAAGTAAAATACACCTCCAAATCCATGCATAAAATGCAGTTTCGGTATTGAAAGCCCCTACAATAGTATTACTTTTACACCTATAATAAAACTTAAGGCTCCAAACTTGGTACAAATCAAGTAGATCTACAAAATGGATGAGCTAAAAAATGTGTTGCAAGATGTATGATTTTAAGAACTTGAAATTGTTTTCTTTCGCGTGCATATATCTTAGGTTCGAAATGACCAATTTGAAAGTCTTCCCTTATCAAATCAACATGGACTTTCAAATTGCACCTTACTTTTATACTACAAAGTCAATACCTTATATAAACTTTCTCCTTACAAGAAATATATATTTCATTTTTAAATTGATCGCATACTTTCCTTGCAACCTTAAGATAAAAAGCTAGTAACATTAAAAAATACTATCATAAAATTCGAAAGTTCAACATAAACAGATGAAATATGAGATATAGGAAAATACACAGCACAAAAGGTAGAATAATAAGAAATTATTTATATTCTTAAACTTATTTGCTAGAGCTAAGGGCCCTGTCTCTATAGCCTTGGGAGATTGCAAGTAGCTTGCCATGATCAGGCAAAACTTCCTTGACAACACCAACTTCACAGAAATTAGACATCCAAGAAGAGATGAAAGGGGTCTTCTCTAGTGCAAGAAACCTCTCTTTTGTGATCTCCTCCAGTACTTTGATCCAGGCCAAGCTTGAACCCACAACAATGTCAAGGTAGCCGAAGGTTTTGCCGTTAAGGAAAGGTTGGAGGTCGCTGAAGTCCTTACAAAAGCCGTCTTCGAGCACCATAATGTTTTCTGTGAATTCAGCTATGGCCTTCTCTTTTTCTTCGCCTTCAGTCTTGAGAACAGCTGCCCTGCTGGCTAGAAACTAAGGCAATGAAAAAAGAAAATTAGCTAAAAGATTATCTTTTTGAGCTCTGTGAATATTTCTTTTTTATACTCAAAAATTGATATTTTTGTTTTCCCTAAACAATATGAACTACTATAGAAGTTTTTGCCATTAAAATTTTTGGGATCTAATTTAGAATTAGAGACGGATATCTTTAAAAAAAAAAAATGGATTTTGAGTTCTTAAAAACATTGATATGACCATCGAAAAATTAGACAGTCTATCTCTGTTATATGCGCCCTCTCTCGGTAAAAAACCAGTTCATTTTATCAATGAAACTCTTGGCACGAGAATAGCTTCCATCTCTAAGAATATAAAAAGAAAACTAAAACCAATCCTTACCTTACGATTGAAAAAATCAGCCCAAAACCTAGCAATTGCTTTTCTATAAAGATCATCAGGCATCAAAGCTGGTAAATCCTTCAAATTTTCATCAATATATTCAAGGATGATGAGAGATTCAACAATTGACTTTCCGCCATGTTATGTAAAAACACAGGGACCTTCTTATGTTTTGTAATAGGAGTTGGCTCTTGTTGCTCAAGTATTCATAGCTTATGGCTTTGAGCTTGAGAGCCAACTCAATCCTCATCACAAAGAGGCTTCCAAAAGAACCAATTAGCTAGCTTCACAGGGGCCATGGCTTCTCACTTGAAATGATTGTGAAGTGTTTTTAGAGCACTTGAGGGTGAATTTGGCGTTGAAGATTTATTGTACTGTGCTTTCTTGGTGGAGGTCATACTAGGCTTTTATTTTATAGATGCTCATAGTGGACTAAAATTAAGTCAAATTTCTCAAACTCTTTTTTACTCTCCTGCAGGAGCATCTCAACTATATACTCCTGCAGGTCAAATATTGTCTTCGCGTATTTTTAAAGAACTCAAATTTTGGGATATAACCTTCTCAACCGACCAATCTATGTGCTGTTGGCGTGTGTATGCATGTGTGCTTCCTATGATTGAATCAGGACCGCCTGATGTGTAGACGTAGATGGTCAGATGTTCCTTTTAGATACTCAGAATACAAATTCGTCTTTCGAAAATACTCGCATAGTGATTCTAAGACGTCCAATAGAACAAATCCTCCTAAATAGCACATTTTCCTGAGGAAGTAAGTTTACAGTGTACTCCCACTAGATCACACCATATGCATTACTCTTTTATACAAATGTACCTGTGTCCAAGTGCAATATATTATAAGTATATTATAAGGTTCCAACCTTAAACAACAATCCAATTATGGCGCACCTCCAACTTGTACCATAACATGTAATTTAGGTAAGAAAAATTATTAGGATTATCTCAAAATCTATTTTTATATCTCATTATAAAATTTAAAACTCCAAAAAAAGGTTAAAATCAAGTAGATCTATAAACATATGAAAATCTTGAAAATGGACGGTCTAGATAATGTATTGCAAGATGTATTATTTTTTAGACTCAAAATAAATTTTTTTCTATAAGCATATATCTCGATATCGAGATGACCAATTAGAGGTTATTCCAGCATTAAAATAACATTTTATGATGGATTTTTGAGGCACATCTACATTTTAAGGTTGCAGCCTTATATAAACTTTTTCCATATATAAATGATATGGTAAATGGTCCACATGAATTTGTATGCGTATACAAATGGGTACCTGAAGGTTCGAGATAAGTCTGTGATAATGCAACAAACATGTTAGTTATTTGTCCATTACACCAATATTTAAGGTAAAATGGTTTGATAAGGCTAGAACCCTATACAAAAGTAAGTAAACGTCCTAC